GTTTGTGCATTTTTTCATCTTTAGAGTTGGGTCTGTGTGTTTTCCGTTCAGTCGAAAGTCTTTCNCTTTTTTTTTTCATTTTTGGGTAGTTTATACATATATTAGTGAGAGAGAGAGAGCGTGAGAGAATGAGAGAGAGAGGGGGGAGAGAAAGAGAGAGAGCGAGTGTGCGAGAGAGAGGGGGGAGAGAAAGAGAGAGAGTGAGGGAGGGAGAGAGAGGGGGAGAAAAAGAGAGAGAGTGAGAGAGAAAGCGAAAAAGAGTAAAAAAAATGGTAGACAAAAGATTTAAATATTTTTCAACTTCGTTCATCTTTTTATAGTAAAAATTTTTAATAATAATTTTGTTAATTAAGGAAAATATTTTCTGAAATTAAAAATATAAATTTTAGAAAAACATACTATTATTACTAAATATACTTTTACTTACTATTATAAATGATATTTATATGAATTGTTCATTTTTTTATTTGCTCGCAGCGGTTATTTTGTCGAATTTGAAAAATGTGTGATACACACAATATATTTTGCCCACGTAGGATGTAAAATGTGTTTATGGTTGCAAAATAAGATTGTCTTATGTCAAAATATCTAATAAATTAACCTACAAATTTTTATGTTTAATATCAAAATGTATTTTCTATTTGTTTTATTTATTATACTTTTCCCCTCACAAAACATTTACTTTTTTGTATTAACTATCATTTGCTTATTTCCATGTTAATATTTAAAAAGCAGATACATGTCTGCCCAAGTGTCTTTAGTTTACAATAATTCATAAAACTTTTGTTTAGCCCTCAATAATCTAGCAATTACTAAGCGCTGAATTTGAAATCGATTTAAACCCTAATACATTCAAATATCTATACAGGAAAGCGTCGTGGAAAAGTTTTGTAATATAAACTGCCAGGGAATAATCTTGAGTTCTGAGTTGAATACTCGAATTGACGGCATTCATGCTCTTTGCAGCCATAATCCGGAAGAGGCTTACGCTCATGACTATAAACTTGAATTTGACTGTACAGACTTACTCCCTTACTTCTTCCATCGATCCTCCTTCAAAAAACCGTATTCCCGAGAGAGCAATGAAAGAAATGTGAAATCCAAGCAGGTTGGAGATCATTATTGTCTTGATTATTATTACTATTCAGTTAATTTTAGAGTTTCGTTACAATAATTTTTTAATGTAATTTATTTATTGCTATCGGTGGAAAAATATACATTGAGTAAATACCATACCTATAACAAATCTGACAGATCTGTCAGACCAGGATGAAGTGGGAAGGGAAGCCAACCAGTGCTGGATCTCTCTTTTATTTAATTGGGAGGGTTAAAACTGATAGTCACGTGGATTGGAAAAGTGGGATGTTGAGAAAAGGGATTGGGCTAGTTGGTGAGGGTGGACGGATAGTTTAGAGTAGAATTTAAGGAAGAGTGTTCGGAAAAGAGCTTTCATAAAGGGGATTTTATGATCTTTATGGATTATTTGACTGATGGGGATAGAAGGGGGCATTGAGTATAAGTCGGAGAACTTTAGATTGAAATGATTGTATTCGGTGAATGTTGGAGGATTTGGCCGAACCCAATTGTTCGATTCGGTAAGACTAAATCGGTCTGATGAGTATTTTGTATGAAGTTTTTATATTATATATGCTTATTTTGGTCCAGTAGGTGTCTGTATTGCGTATCTTCTGTTAAATTCTTGTCGTTTTAATATCGTAGTAAGTCTTCTGCTTATGTAAAGCCCAAGGAAGAGGACGTATTTGAACGTTGGTATTTTCTTGTTGTTAATTTCACTAATTCGTGGTCCGCTTGACCAATTAATATATTACAATTAATTAAGATTTCTAGTTGAGATCTTCCTATTTCAACCCCACCTTATGAGTTTTCCCTCCTTTTTGCCATTTTTCAGTATTAATTGGTCAAGCGGTCCACGAAATTAGTGAATTTACTGATTAAAATGAAGTACACTTCACTAAAGCTCTCCGTGGCCATTTCATTTGTCGTCGAGAATCCGATCCGATTGGACGACATTTGAAAAATGGCAAAAAGGAGGGAAAACTCATAAGGTGGGGTTGAGATAGGAAGTTGATGTCCGAGTGGATCGAGGTCACGATAGCTCAAGTGGTAGAGCAGCGGGGTATCTAGCCGAAGATCGTGAGTTCGAATCCCGCTCGGGCCATTAACTTTTTTTCATCTCAACTAAAAACCTTAATTACTTGTTAATGTGTACTGGTCAGCAGCGTTGACGTTTAAGCGTAAACGTAACTTGCTGGCTTTTTGTTCATTCAACCTGATCCACCACCGAGATCACGAGTCAGTAATGAGGTTCAGATTTTGTTGGATTCTTTCTTTGGCTAGGATAGGATAGTATTGGAGTGTATTGATAAAATTGAGGTTTCGTCCGTGACTTGTGTATTTGGATGTGTGGGTATTCATCAATGTAAATGGAGTAGAGGATGTGACGAAATAATAATAATAATTGATAAGCATAAAGAAAGGGAAAATCAAAATATGAGGTTGGGAAATTAGTGTCCGAGTGAATCGAGGTCACGGTAGGTCAAGTGGTAGAGAAGCGGCGTATTTAGCCGAAGGTCGTGGGTTCAAATCCCTCTTGTGACTGACTTTTTTGTATCGACCACCACCTTATATACAGATTTATTATTTGAAAGTATTATTTGGTCAAGCGGACTACGAAACCTAGTGAATTTAATAATAATAATTATAATCCATTATGTTTAGTTGTCTGATCGACCTAATTACTCCTTTCAATTAATTATCCTTTGTAACTAAGTTCTTGGTTTAAATGAAAAAAATTAATGTGAGCAGGATTCGAACCCTCGACCTTCGACTCAAAACTGCTGCTCTAACCACTTGAGCTATCGAGACTTTGATCCCCTCGGGATTATAATAATCAAAACAAAAATAATATAATTCAAAACAAACGATTGATTCTCTTTCGATAAAAATAAATAAAAATTAGATAAACAAAATATCTTTTCCATTTCTGGACAAATAAAAATACAAATATCTTGGAAATTAAAACTAATTATATTAAAGGAAAAAGAAAATAGGGTAAAGACTCACTGGATCCTCAATTTGGCCCTTAAGCAGCAAAACAGTATAAACCTTTCTGATCTACCTTTTGAGCCGGTCCTTGGTGGGGGCACGGTCCACCTGGTTCACATATGATCGTTAAAAGGATTGGGCCTAAGATGATTCCTTGTGGAACGGCAACACAATAAAACTAAATATAAAATAATAATTGTTCTTATAAACTAAAACAAATGCAATGGATTTATATATTGTTTGAATAGTTTCCCTCTTTTTAGTAGCAAACTTTCAAATATCTTTTCTTTTTAATTTATGATTGGATTGGCCATACAAAATAAGTATAATATGAAAGAACAAGTAATGACAGTAGAACTGTTTAAAAGTCTATAAAATTTGATATTATTGCCTTTATTCATTTTTCAAGTGCAAAACAAATACCATGTGTGAAAATAAATGTGAATCTAATCCGTTAGAAAAACCATACTGGTGTATTAATTTAACACAATTCGAAGTTGAGGGTAGAAATGATTAGATTCCCTTCATCAAAAGATGAAGATTTATACAGATGATTCTCAACTGAAGTGGATAATGCAAAGGAGATATTTTGAAATTCAATTTCCTTTTCTCTCTTTACCCTGCTTTCTTTGTTTCATTAATAAACCAGATTATTCAATATCGTTTCCTAAATTGCAGTGTAATTTTGTTTGCCAGGGCAAGTATTCTTTTTACCAAGGAAAATATTGCGATTCAGTCGTCCGATTCACTATGATATCGATCTAATAAGTTCTGTCTCCCGGGACTAATTTCAGTAACAACACTAAACAGTCTCTTAACTAGAACTTTGCTGGGCTTCTATCATTAATATTGGATTAAGTAATGGCCAAAGCAAAATCAAAAATTGTACTTTGATAAAATGTTGAAACATACCTCATTTCTTAAAAAAAAAAAAAAAATTATTTTCAGGAAAACCTTTGTTCTAACAATTTGGGGATATTTTATTGTAATATATTTTTAAAATCCACGATACACCATTTTTATTCACAATACAAGTTTATCGTTGAAATAAGGGAAGTATGAAAAGTAGTTAAACTTATAAAACCATTAGGGTTCCATTCAACAAATAACTTTTTACAATTAATTAATCTTTATTTAAGGTATTGGTTGAGATAAAAAAAGTCAGTGTCACGAGCGGGATGATGAGATGATAAATGGCAAAAAGGAAGGAAAATTCGAACGATGGGTTGAGATAGGAAGTTGGTGCCCGAGGTGATCGAAGTCACGATAGCTCAAGTGGTAGAGTAGCGGCGTATCAAGCCGACGGTCGTGGGTTCGAATCCCGCTCGTGACACTGACTTTTTTTATCTCAACTAAAAACCTTAATTAATTAATTAATATTAATTGGTCAAGCGGACCACGAAAACTAATGAATTTAATAAGTTAAAATGAAGTACACTTCACTAAAGCTCTCCGTGGCCATTTCATTTGTCGCCGAGACTCAAATAGATTTTACACGACGTTTGAAAAATGGCAAAAAGGTGTGAAAATTCAAAAGGTGGGGTTGAGATGGGAAGTTAGTGTCTGAGTGGATCGAAGTTACGATAGCTCAAGTGGTAGAGTAGCGGCGTATCAAGCCGAAGGTCGTGGGTTCGAATCCCGCTCGTGTCACTGACTTTTTCATCTCAACTTAAAACCATAATTGAATGTTATTAATTGGTCAAGCGGACCACGAAAAATAGTGAATAAATTTGTTAGGTAATATTTTTTTTATTCTGATGTTGAATGCTTAACTTCTTCAATACAGTTTTACTGTCTCAAATAACGAACATACATACTAGATTTAGCTAGTTTTAAAACATTTTATACTCAAAATTTTTATTGTTTTTCAACATAACATTTGACATGAACGTCCCTTTTCGTTGATATGATATCAATGAAATTGCATATTTCAGGGTTGATAGTGTCGAATACTTCAGCACCCAAATCGGCTGCTTGGACGAAAGGAAATGCAGCGATGCCGCCCTTCGATCAAGACCTGCCCCTCGTTTCTAAAGGTAGAGATTTATTTAGTTTGATAAGCTGGCTAACCATTTTTATTTTTGTAATGATAAACTATTGAATTTGGTTTCTCCCTTGAAAATGGAATTAATGATTTTTATAAGAAAAAGAGCTCGCTTTGTTAAATTTTGCCAGGTTAAACTACTAGAAAAAGAAAAATCCGGAAGATATTTTATTATACTTGCTTCAAATCGACTATTTAAACGAAGTTCTGTTTATTATAAATGTAAGTACTTCAAAGAAAGCACGGCTTTTATTTATTAATTATGCATGTGACGTTGAAATATTTTTGAATCTTTAACAGATTCCGTAAATGCATTTCTTGCATGAAGAGTATTAGTTTTTGCTTCATATTTGATTTATTTTGTAGCCTTATTGTAAACAATACAACGATGACTTGGAACAAAATTCTTATCTTATTGTCTCGATTATATTTCTGCCAATTTAGAAAATTGATCATTTATCGTAATATTTGTCGTACAAGCTTCGTTTCTGATGATAAACCCCCAAGATCAATCAATTCTAATGTAAAATATAAATGGACAATTGACTATTACAATACTTTTTACATAATATGTTATAACATAAAAGCCTTCCAATATAATATAAAGTGAGATAAAAGTAAATCTTTCTTTCAAACCAAATAGTTAGCCTTCTAAGCAGCTTAGATGTGACTTAACTCTTAACAGGAGTAACAAGAAAAAAAGAATTTCCGCGAGTTTAAATATTATTATTAAAAAAATGTGTTCTGAAGCGAAAATAAATTCTAAACCTATTAATTTAAATAAAAAGGGCAAAGATACAATGGTACATTTTTATTCATTCCATTATAATTTTGTTAAAATTGCCAATAACAAACAGTGTTTCATATATACAAAAAAATATTGATTTATTTTAGTTTTTATAACTAATAATAATTAATAGTTTTAAATATTTATTATGTAAGAATTTATCATGGCCAATTTGACATAATGATCGAAATCTTTGTTTAATATTTTGTTAAGAAAAGCTATTAAACATTATCCAATTCATTAGTAAGCTGTTTATTACATATATATTTCTATCATGCTGCTGTATTATCTCAATTATGTCAAATATTACAATACTTTTTATATAATATGTTACTACATAAAAGCCTTCCAATATATTTAAATTAGATAAAAATAAATCTTTCTTTCGAACCAAATAATTAACTTTCTAGGCAGCTTAGATGAGACTTAACTGTTAGTAAAAGTAAGAAAAAAAGAGGTTCCGCAAGTTTAAGTGTTATTATTAAAAGAATGTGTTCTGAAGAGAAAATAATGTAAAAATCAATTAAATTAAATAAAAAAAGCATAGATACAATTTTATATTTTTATTAGCTCTATTATAATTTTGTTAAAATTGCCAATAACACATAGTGTTTTATACATACACAAAACTATTGATTTATTTTAGTTTTTATAACCATTAATAATTATGAGTTATAATATTATATTACATAAGAATTTATCATGGCCAATTTGGCATAATGATCGAAATCTTTGTTTAATATTCTGTTAAGAAAAACTATTAAACATTATCCAATTCATTAGTAAACTGTTTATTACATATATATTTCTATCATTATGTCAACTATTACAATACTTTTTATATAATATGTTACAACATAAAATCCTTCCAACATATTTAAATTAGATAAAAATAAATCTTTATTTCGAACCAAATAATTAACTTTCTAAGCAGCTTAGATGTGACTTAACTATTAGCAGAAGTAATACAAAAAGAGGTTCCGCGAGTTTAAGTGTTGTTATTAAAAAAATGTGTTCTGAAGTGAAAATAATGTAAAAATCAATTAAATTGAATACAAAAGCGTAGATACAATTGTATATTTTTATTAGTTCTATTATAATTTTGTTCAAATTGCCAATAACAAATAGTGTTTTACACATACACAAAACTATTGATTTATTTTAGTTTTTATAACTAGTAATAATTAATAGTTATAATATTATATTACATAAGAATTTATCATGGCCAATTTGGCATAATGATCGGAATCTTTAATATTTTGGTAAGAAAAACTATTAATCATTATCCAATTCATTAGTAAATTATTTATTACATTTACATTTCAATCATGCTGCTGTATTGTCTCAATTATCCTGATAAAATCCGTTTTGCAGGGTAAATAAAAACGTTGAGTCCCAGAAAAAACCAGGTCATGACAATTGCTCTTCACAGTTCTGGTGGTGGCACCAGTCATCGCGTTCACTTTTTGCATAACTAAATACCAGTAGCTAACTTTCAAGTAAATTTACCTTCAATTTCACAAATCACTTGTTCACATACACGATAATAAAAATGATTAAAAAGCAAAAGTCGATCTGTTTGTGAATCGAAACGAGTTCATTTGATCATTCGGAAAAAATATTTTAAAAAATTGAACGATCGGAAACAAACCCAAGTATATTTAGTATACCGTTTAAACGCACGTCACATGAAAAGGGTGAGGGGAATTTTCAGATGTCGATAGGTTTTGATCAAACGACCAACGGGGAGTCGCCCAATCTATTCATAGGTAGAAGCCTTCATATTGCGTTGTTTTAGTCTTGATCAAAAGCCGGATCACGAAGGGCTTCATAAAGGGATGAAATTACTCTGCATCCCTTAGACACAATCCCAGGACCAATTAGACGATAAAACCGGCGCAATATCAGTTCTCCTATTGAAATTACGTCTTTGTAAACTACCGATGAATCTACATACACATCAATGGTATGCTTTCAATATTCTAACACAAACGTTTTGAGCATTGATAAACTATTTCGCTGCCACTTTCACCAAACGAACGTATCTTCGTATGATAACAGTGCCCTGAGGATATTCAAAGATCTGAAACATTTACCGAAAACTATTGATACATTAAAATCCAAACTTGAATAAGTAATTAAAAATTCAACCTCAAAAATCGGCGCTTTTTAACTTTTGTCATTGATAAATCTAAGTGTTACTCTTTGATGACACACGATTAAGATAAAACAGCATAATCCGAAGGGTGATTATTCTTCCATCAATTGACAAATTTGTTCAAAAGCTTCCATTGCTGGTTCTAATACCATCAGGCACCTTTAAGTCCTTTTAAACAGCGTTTCATACATATCAAAGTGATATGAAAGGATTATCTTCCCATTCAGCTTTTAATTTAAAAAGCATTTTTAATTTGAATGAATTCGTCAATAAGATATGAATTTTGATAGGTTCAGTTAATGATTATTGATGAAATGTTTTTATTAACCTTCAGAGTACCAAATTTAATGGCTGTCAATAAATAACAATGTAATAATTTAACGAAAAAAAATATATAAAGAGTTTTTTCAGGAATGTCTTTGGCATGAAAATTCCTAAATGTCGAACAACGGTTTAATAAATTTGTAAAAAATCTAAACGCTATAAAAAACACTTAACTAATGGCACAACAAAAAAATATTATAATTTGTTAGTTTATTACTCCAAAATAAGTGGCTTATAAAAAAATAAATAAACCTAAAAAAGGCCAGAATTGGATCTCATAACAGGAAAAATCTATAAAAAAATTACGGAAATTAATAATTATAAATCTAACCAAAATACGGCAGTAAGGGTAAACCATTGAATCTGTAAGGGGGGCGAAATCACAATAATAGCTAATCCTTGTAAACAACTGAACGAAATTTCGTCATATAGACCAATATCGCTATTATGAAATAAGGTTTTTAGCAGAAATAAAAGTCAATGGCACGAGCGGGATTCGAACCCACGATCTTCGGCTAGATACGCCGCTGCTCTACCACTTGAGCTATCGTGACCTCTATCCACACGGACACTAACTTCCCATCTCAACCCCACCTTTTGAATTTTCCCTCCTATTTGTCATTTTTCAAATGTCGTCTAATCGAATTGGATTCTCGGCGACAAATGAAATGGCCACGGAGAGCTTTAGTGAAGTATACTTTTATCTCAACTAAAAACCTTAATTAATTGTAATATATTAATTGGTCAAGCGGACCACGAAATTAGTGAATTTAATGAATTGAAATGAAGTATACTTCACTAAAGCTCTCCGTGGCCATTTCATTTGTCGCCGAAAATCCAATCCGATTACACGACATTTGAAAAAGGGCAAAAAGGAGGGAAGATTAAAAAAAGGTGGGGTTGCGATGGGGAGCTAGTAGCCGAGGTGATCGAAGTCACGATAGCTCAAGTGGTAGAGTAGCGGCGTATCAAGCCGAAGGTCGTGGGTTCGAATCCGCTCCTGCCATTGACTTTTTTATCTCAACTAAAAACCTTAATTAATTGTAATATATTAATTGGTCAAGCGGACCACGAAATTGGTGAAATTATTAAATAAGTTTAAAGCCTTTCATTGAAAAAAAGTACCTCGTACCAAACTATTCATTTGGTATTAGAACTAAACAAAATCAAAATTTTATAATTACAAATATAATAGAAATATGTTTAGAACTGAAACATATCCATACCGCTGTGTCTCCGGACGATCAAGCCTTTGATGAAGGCTTTACACAAACTAAAAAAAAAGCACTTCCAACTCAGTAAGTACAACTTATCTTCTCCTACCTCTATATAAAGACTGGTGTTTCCTAATCAAGTTTCTTAAGACTAGTCTTTCATCTTCGTTGATCCAATGACTTTTCTCCAAAGGTTTGAAATTTAAATGAGTATATGTTTGGACACATTAATTTTACATACAGAAAAATCACCGACGGTACAATAAATATAAATGAAAAATAGTACGAAACAAAACACACTAATTGAAATAGAGTGCACTCATTATCATAAAGAAAAAATGAACTGTGTACTTAAACGTAGAAAAGTGTCCTAGCATTTGAGAAAAGGTCTCATTTATCAATCCGAAGCCAAATCCTCTTTTATGACAAAAGCCTTAAACCGATCTCGATGGCATACAAATCTGAAGCTGCGCGAAAAAGAGTAACATGGCTGTGTTACAAACATTTCA